CCCCCCCCCCCCCCCCCCGCTACTATAAGCTTTCTTCCAAGTTACCACTGATCAGTTAATTGTTGTTCTTGTGACAGCATCTCATCTGTAGCCAGTCCAGACGGGCCTTAATTTGTGATCTTCCTGCCTCTGCCTCCTGAGTACACAGATTATAGGCATTGGCCGCCATACCTGTCATCTGTGAAAGTTTTAACAAGGTCACAAGATCCCAGTGGCAGGGACTTTTCAAACCCCATCTGTAATATGCGATGGAGTCCTTAAGAAGCAGATAATGAGTGATCGTGTCCCCAAGTCCCAGCTTACCTTCTCCTTGCACCACACTCGGTGCCAACGGTGTTGGTCTGGCACCTCCAGGAAACAGACACTGCAGTTAGGAGGGCGAGAGGACTGTTAGTTTGTGAAAGATCCAGAAGTCTGAGCTGGAGAAACCAAGCCACAATGGAGATGTGAAACATGAAGGGAAGTACAGGAAAGCCAATTTGGACCCTAAAGGATATCAACTATTGTCCTGCCAAAAGCCCAGGGACAGCTGAGGAAGCCATGTCCTGATAATGCAGCCACTGTAGGAACCTCATATCCCTCTGTGACATCTAGTTCTACTGGAGTGTCTTTCAACATGTAAGAAAGTGAAATGTGGAATTCATTCAAACAGAACTGAAATAAGCATTGGGACTGATAAACCAGCTGTGCTTGAAAACCCAACATCTTTTTAAATTTTTTAAAAAAGATGTGTTTGAGTGTTTTGTCTACATATACTTATGTGTACCACATGCATGCCCACAGAGGTCATAAAAACACATCAGATCCACTGGAACTCAAGTTGCAGATGGTGAGCTATGAACTGAACCCAGGTCCTCTGCAAAAGCCACCACGCCAGCCCACAAATCTTTTTTTTTTTTTTAAATAAAGCAATTAGTGTAGGGAAATGGCTTGAGTGAAATTACTTAGGTATTTGGCAGACATTAGTACGCTAGTTATATATTTATATAACATGCTAAGCTGCAAACATGAAAAGCATGCTGTAAGCATGGCCGTAGCTGAGAAGATGTAAAACATATCTGGGCATGTTCTTGCTAGGATGAAGAGCCAGTATACAATGGCATAAGAAACAAAGAGGCAGCACAACAGAATTAAATCACCAAATTAAGAGCATGCTCTAAGAACAAAATACACACAAAACCAGCTACACACATAAAATATGGCTCGTAACAAAAGTCATGTGTACTAACGTCTCCAATCTTGCTTAAAATGGCAAAACCCTTCTAAAGCAGACGTATGTTCTCAAACTGAATGTCAGCATGAAGTGGAGTTAAGTGTGCCGTTAGGTACCTGCAAGGAACTCCTGGAGCCAGGCAATAGTTTAAATCTCTCAAACCCACAGGGAAGTTTCAACTCACTCATAGATTATTTCACTAGTAAGACAATTCTTGCTACTGCATGACGTTATCTTTGAAAAATCTTGAAACAAAAAACAACGATCCAAACATTTGATTATGTGACTGCTGCAGGAACCTAGGGAGGCAGCATGGCCAGCACAGTGAGGTCCCAGGGACTCGACCAGCCTGTGACTGGGTGCCATCGTTTCTAAAGGGACCCTAAACAAGCACCCAAGCAAGGCTAGCCACGCTATCCTCTCTGAAAATGTCCCGAGGACACAAGCAGTTTGAGTTGGGCTCAGCTCAGCGGTGGAAATGAAGACTGTGTCTCTACTCTGGAGGTGACTCAGCCACCTACCTGGTTCCATCCCGTTTCTCCAATCCTCTGCAGTCCACCCGCCTCACCGCGGTACTCACCTGCCCCTTGCCCCTCTCCCCCAGCCTCTACACTTCTGACGTTGGCTACTGTCCTTCAACACTCAGCTTTCAAGTCACGACACCACTTTTTACAAACAATTTCTTTTTATCAGATACTGGCGTTGACAACAGCTTGTGTGTGCTCGCGCACGTGCGCAGGAGAGGGTTTTACTTTTCACGAAGTACAGCTTTCTACTTACTTCCCTTATGGCATAAGCCTTTTCGAGGTCTGTGTCCTCTCCTACACGTACTTCCCTACTTGGCCAATGAGACAATCTGCTCAGCAAGTATCTGTTTAATGTGGGTCAGAGTTATGACTCACTGTTCCCGGAATGTACTGAGTTTAAAACACCTATCTTCTTATCCATGAATAACTCAAGGCAAGCAATTTGCCTCTGGGATAAGGTAGTGATGTGATAAACACTTCAAATGGGCAAAAATAATAAAGTAATGATTCAAGAGCAAATTTCTCAAGACTCTGGGACAAGGAGGGAACTGTTCTATGGACTCCTCTCATGGTGGTCTGTATATTTTTCTCAAAAGACAGGATTAAAGCTATAAACATAGTGCACAGGAGATGGCTCACTGATTAAGAGCACTGGCTGTTCTTCAAAAGGTCCTGAGTTCAATTCCCAGCAGGCACAAGAAGCACAAGTGTCTACAGCTGTAGTCCCATTGGATCAGACACCCTCTTCTGGTGTACATAATACCCATATACATAAACAAATCTTTTTTTAAAAAAAAGATACAAGTATAATCTATTCAAGACACATTTATTAAAAACCCAAATACTTAGTACTATCTCTTATGGGCTGGGATCACCCATACAATTGCAGTGGTCTACCTATGATCAGAGGACACGGGACACAGGACTGGGAGGAGGGAAGACAGGACAGCTTTACTAGCTGAATGTAACACAACCTTCGGGTAGAAAAGCAGATGCTGGGGCCCGGGAATGGCTCAGCTGGTAACAGCCCTTGCTGCTCTTGCAGAGGACTTGGACTCAGTCCCCAGTACCGGAACAGCAGCTCACTGTTAGGGGAGGTCCTGCAGATCCTACAGCCACTTTGATTCTGGAGGGCTAGCACCTGGCTTTATCTGCCTTTTGTGACTGCTACCTTTTGTCTCCAGTACCTTCTGTTTGAAGTATGTAAATCTTACCTGAGAGTTTCCTAAAGACTCAGGGCCTATGCAAAACCTTGGTTGTGGGAGGACTGGCAAACTAAGATGTCTCTTAGATACGGTTCTGGTGTGTGGAAACTGACTGGCTAAAGGTGTGAAATGTGGACTGGTAAAAAAGCCCTTGCTAAGGTACAAGTCAGTCCACCAGAGGCTGATCCCCTGCAGCTGGAAAGACGAAAACATCATCCTTGGAGTGCTTGTGTCTTCTTTCCACGGACCCGCGTGAACCCACACCTGATACAACAGCTCACAATGACTCAGGGGTTCAGTAACCCTCACTTGCAGGCACTGCCCAAAAATGCATGCACACACAACAGTAAAAATAAACCTATCCCCATCCCCATCCCCACAAGGTTTCCTTGTGTAGCCCTGGCTATCTTGGAACTAATTCTGTGGACAGACTGGCCTTGAACTCACAGAAGTCTGCCCCCCCCCCCCCACTGCTGAGATTAAAGGTGTGTGCCACTACCGCCCTGCTGATAAACTTTTTTTTTTTTTTTAAAGGCAGATTCTGGGCCTTTGATCCAAGAACATCAGCAAAATACAGTCTTGTGTTACTACGACTTCAGAACAAGACTTGGTAGTGGCCAAGAGCAGCCTGGGGAGTCTAGGCAGGTGATGGATACCCATAAAGACCAGGGAACTGGAGAGAGGGAGATGGACTCACTAAGACTTGATAAGAAATGTGGGAAAGGATTTGGTGAACTGTCAGACTCTTGGGTAATCAGAACAGAAAACACTGCCATCAAATTACAACAGCAAAGATAGAAATTTGCTTTTATTGGAGTAGGAGTAGAGATTCCAAGTTTGTTCATGTTGAGTTAAATATATGTAGGACATAGGTACCCATACCGGACTCTTGCCCAGTGACACGTAGCATCTTCAGTGTCCTCGGAGGTGAGGTAGACATGAAAGGTACTTTCTACCCTGGAGTTGTTGTACTTTCCTTTCCCTAAGAATTTCTGGTGTTCCTTACTGAAAACGGCACACGGGTTTTCCCATGTATGCACCTTGCATTCATCCAATAATACTTTTTAAAATAACATAAGCAATCAAAGAATACTTGAAGGGATTTGCACCAAGGCAGAAACAGAACACCCAGGCAGTCGAATACTGTGGCTCTGTCCTTACCTATTCAAGCACACGGCGCTGACCTTTCAACTCGGTTGTTTTCATTGGACAGCAGGTTGCCTATCAGCGGAAGGACTTTAAAGACACACATATAATCACAGCAGTCTGAACTAGTGGAGAAAAGTCAGACCTCCCGTGGGAAGCAGGAAATACCTTAAGGATTGTGGAGAATGGCAAAGTAAAAGCAAGCTGCTGCCTCTGTCTGGCCGTCTATGGAGCGTGCTGACAGAGGACTAAGGTGTTCCCCAGACAAGCAGGTCTCCTGAGGAAAAAGAAGCTAGTTCAAGCTCACTGATCCCCTCCCTGCCTGTCTGGAGTGATGCAGCAACAGCCCTTCTGCTAATTTCCTTCTCTCTTCTTGTAGCTTCAAGAATCTCTCATCTTAGTCAGCTGACAGTTGGTACACTCAGGAAAGCATCCAGGAATTTTTTATATTGTGCCCTTATTAACCATAACACTTCTTAAGTTAAGCAACGTTAGACACATGGCAGCTCTAAGTGTCCAGGTCTCAATTTCTAATTCCCAAATCTTCCCCTCCCCTGCCACTGTTTTTGCCCCACCCCAAGACAAGAGTTTCACTATGTAGCCCTGGCTGTCCTGGAACTATGTAGATCAGGCTAACCTCAAACTCAGAGATCCGCCTGCCTCTGCCTTCTAAGGGCTGGGGTAGAAGGCGTGCAGCACCATCCCTGGTATGCCCTGTCACTTTTTAATAAGATTTACGCTTTGTTCAGTTTCAAGATTAGGGGCTGAGGCTAGGCAGGAGACAGTGCTGAGCTACATCTCCAGTCCTTTTAAATGTGGGGGAGAAGGGCTTAGTAAGTTACCAGGCTGTCCTGAATTATAGATGCTATCTTCCCGGCACAGGCACAGCACCTGACCAGGACTGGCTTCACCGAAACACGGAGTACCCATACTGAGTAACGAGCACCTGTGAATAAGCAACTCTAGGGACGCCCTTCATGCCGTGCACTCGTTCTGGATAGATGCTATTTGTTTCCACCATCTTTTAAAAAATAGGCTTTCATATAGGAGACCCACTATACAAATTAAACTTCACATTATAAACTCTAAAGAACTCTATACTTATCCAATTTAGTATTCAAGTATACGGGGGTGGGGAGAGCAAATGACAACGCCTTTATTATTAAAGGTTACTAAGTTCCATAAAGCACACAAAGTAACCTATGTTCAACAAAAGGTTGGTACATGTATTGAAAAATATGTAACAAATCTGTCTGTCTTAATATTTACATTCTATTTAAAAGTAGTTACTTTACATATTTTTGCAATTTGATTTATAAAATATATATACCCAAATCCTCAAGCATGAACTTCCATTCCTAATCAAATGCACAATCTATACTGTGAACCAAACATTATGGCAGCAACAACATGAACAAATTCAATTTGACCTGAACATGTACTTAATTCGTGGCTACTAGGTAATTAGTTCCACTCAAATAATTCTTTACTGTGTGCCTGTGCATGTGTTTGCTGTTATTATGAAGAGACTTGCATCTTCATGACATCTGGTACAAATCTCACAACGCCTTCAGAGTCCTCTTGCAAGCTTTAAGACAGTGGAGGTTTTCAGTCTTTCTACAGACAGGGACTGTGACAAGTTACACGTCACACAAAGTCCAGAAAGAGTTTTCAGTATGCTTTGTCTTTGAGAAAACAACCTACATGATTGCATCAGCTAGTCCTGAAAACCCAGGTGGTGTGCTCACCAAGAGAGCAAGAACTCAGTCTCTGTCACCGCCAGCTCTTCACGCGCACTAGAGAGCCCAGGGGTGGGGAGACTTGAGTCTACTCAGGCCTTCCTTTCACACAATCAAAGCAGCGCAACGCAACTTAACTAACAGAAGTTTTTAGGACAATCTTATAATCACTCAGAGGTGAAAAACCACACGTTAAGTATCAACAACTCTGAGAACTGGAATAACTATTACCTCACTGACCAGATCAACGCACTTAGCAAAGAGCTAAGTCTGAAAAATTCAGATTCTCTGTGCCTCTAAAGAGAATGATGTCTAAAATTCTGTCTTTAAAGTTAATGAATAATTTATGCTGGGAAAAAAGTCACCCATAAATAATTTCAGGAAAATAACACCATATCTAAAGGTAAAAACAACTCAATGTGAGAAGCAGTAGACTCTGGGAGAGTCCCTATCTAAAAGGAAACAAGCAGAAACCCTCCATGTCACTACTGAGAAATTCAACCACAGGTCACAGCTTATTTCTGTCAATTACCCAATATATTTAACAACCTGCTGATGAAATGAAGTTAGGTACCAAAATAATAATGTTATTTATAGAAAGTAGTTTTTCTTAAAATTTCCAGATTTAATTTTAACAATATTCCATCCTAGATTCCCTAACTTAAAACAAAAACCAAAACCTAACTTCAAAGTCAGAAAAGTAAATTGTGGAAGACACTGAGCATCTGTGAGCAGAGGGGGAAAAAGGGAGCCCTCGGGAGGAAAACAAGGGCTGGAGCAGCTGCTGCAACAGACACCTTCGCAGGTCACAACTATGCCAAAGCCTTAGAGATCTTGGCACAACACGCACCAGAGCTGACTTTCAGGCTCTGGGGCCAACTGCTGGGCTCTGACATGGTGCAAATGGAGCTCAGGGCCTCCTCAGGGCAGCTGCCACTGAGTGACACTCTCAGCCCTAAAAATGAATCTTCAGAAAGGTACTTTTTGTAAACCAATTTACATGCATATTCAACTAAACATAATTATAAATGTTAAGCTTTCAACTAAGATATATAAAAAACTAATAAAAATAAAACCAACCTTTGAATACACAGTACCTCCTCTTCTACTCTTCTAAAAAGTTTTAACAAGTTTTAAACATTGCAATTCTCAAAAACAATAGGGTTTTTTAAAAGATTCCATTACCAGAAATAACTTATCTACATGCCACTGTTGTATCACTAATCATTTCTATTACTGCCAATTTATCTTTAATGGAACAAACCAGTCACTAGGTATCTGTTTTAGAATCTCAAAAAATTACTAACCATTGCAGGAAACTAATGATATGTGTGTGTTTGCATATATTTAAAGTCAGAAGGAGAAACAGTAAAGCACCCTAGTTACTCCTCTACACCCACTCGAAGGAACAAGGATCACCGCCCTTCTCCCCCGGACTGCTGACCACATAAAAGTGCCATCCCTTTCTCCCAGGGCTTGAAAAATGCTCTTTCCCGCTGGCTACACCAATAATTACACATTATACGATTTTAGCAGTAAATATTGACTTCTGAAGAGAACAACAAACTGCATCTTTACAAAATTTTCCCACAAAACTGAAAATAACTTTCTCCATTAAGACTATAGCATTTGTCTTTATTCATAAGGGCACCAAGTTCATAACTGCAGAAACAAGGAGCTGCGTGGGTCACAAGTGTTTAAAACGCTGGAGGGAGAGACAGACAGACAGACACAGACTTTAAGTGTAAAATATAATGTTGCAGGTTAGTACTCAATGGCGGGAATTCAGGGAGGAGGAAATGAGCTCAGAGTACCTCATATAAATTTCTTGTAATCCTGGTTCTCTTTCAATAATGTTACAGCAAAATATTTGTTTTATTGAAGCCACAATTTTCCCTCACCTGAACAATGACCCAGATACACATCTTACATCTTTAATAATGTCAAACAAATGCAAGTGTAAAAGAATTTTCAATGACTCCTAAATTCAAGGGAGTAGTATTAATCTGATTATTATTTATTAATAGTTGATGTTCCTATATTTTAGATATATATTCCTTGTTTCTTCACTTGGAACCAAAAGTAAACAAAAATTGTCTGGTTTCCACTCTTTCCGTCCATCTCGCTGAATCTGTGTTCTAGATCTGTACATACAAAGGTATAAAACACTGAGTCTGTGTTCTAGATCTGTACATACAGAGGCATAAAACACTGAATCTGTGTTCTAGATCTGTACACACAGAGGTACATTAAAACACTGAGTCTGTGTTCTAGATCTGTACGTACAGAGGTATTAAAACACTGAGTCTGTGTTCTAGATCTGTACATACAGAGGTATATTAAAACAGAGTCTGTGTTCTAGATCTGTACACACAGAGGTATATTAAAACAGTGAGTCTGTGTTCTAGATCTGTACACACAGAGGTATATTAAAACACTGAGTCTGTGTTCTAGATCTGTACACACAGAGGCATAAAACACTGAATCTGTGTTCTAGATCTGTACACACAGAGGTATATTAAAACACTGAATCCGTGTTCTAGATCTGTACATACAGAGGTATATTAAAACACTGAATCCGTGTTCTAGATCTGTACATACAGAGGTATATTAAAACACTGTCGTAAAGACAACTCAAGCTGGCACCTGATGCTACTGCACTGCTAATGCCTGGCCTGGCGTATCGATTCCTTTGGTGAATAAGCATCACAGTTCACTTCCCATGGGAGGATTTTAGTAAGAGGACTACGAACACAGAAAAGCTCCCCGTCTTGCCCCACCCTACCCTGAAAAAAATCAAGCTATTTAGTATTTTAGAGCAGCGACATAAAATATGGGAACACCTAATTTAGAGCTATAATTCCATATTAAAAGCAGTGGAAAACTAAGAATTTAAAGATTTTTTTTGTCTTAAATAGGCCAACTAATAAAACTAACGATGATCACCGGGAGAACTCATGCACATCCAGTCGACAGAAGAAAATGATTACAATCTTTAACAAATGACCATTGCTACCTAGCAGTATAAACAGGCTCCACAATTTGGTGGCTGGCCATAATTTTAATTTTTTTTCAAGTTATTTCTACAGCAGACATATTTTTGAAGTCTACCCACCCCTGAGTTCAGCAGTTATCTTTTAGAGTGTAAAATTATATGCCCTTAATTAACAACATGTACAAAGCTACAAAATGTCATCTACACAGAGATTAAAAACAATTTTTAAAATATTCTTTCCCAATCATCAGCTGGATGATCTTAGGGGTACATATGTCAGACCTTTCGGCCAACTGGCTTTAGTTTTTAAGCCCCAATCGATGAATAGAGTCACTGCAGGATATTCGAAGAGTGCAACAGTAAGGCATTAGTAAAAATGACATTGTCATAGAAACAGAGCTTGCATATGTGAAAAGGTAATTTATAAAATACATTAATTGATTCTTAAAAAGACCTAGTTGTAGCATCATTAACTTACATGGTACATGGTACTTAGAATGGAATCTTTCCAACAACCATCTTATAGATTAGATATAGACAGATAGACAAGTACAGATGACAGACAGAAAAACTTCATCTAGCGGTAAGCAAAATCTTTTCAACAAATAAAACAAATTCTTCCAAGAAAACCTGTATGGTTGTGTGAGACAAATCTGCAAACATATCATTTTATGGTGTTCTTTTGTCAAAATCTTAAAATAAAAATGTCCACACTCTTTTGTTAAAACATTAAGCCTCTGTCAAAAATGTATTTCTCATTTTAGGGTACAGGATTGAAGGACAAGATGATACAAGTAAAGAAAATTTACAAGAAAAAAACTTGACAAAAGTCTTTCAATTAAAGTACTGTAACATTCAAACAACTTAAAATGTAACAAAAGAAACAAGATTACAAACAAAAATGTTTATGGATTTCCAAACATAAATAAATGAAATAGTGTTTAGGCAGTAGGGCTCATGCTGATGGCTAGCAGGAAGTAACAGAGTGTAATATACTTGGGGGAAAAAAAAAACAGGCCCAAATGATGGGTGGCAGTAATTTAAGCATCACTGCCAACTTTTTACTTCCAAAATAAAGCCTTGGTTAAACCATTCACACCCTATATTATTCACACCTTCACTTCAGAGATTGAGGACTATATACAACAAATGAATTTATTTTCACCATAGGGATAACATATTGTACCTCTCTGCCAATGTTCCTTGAAAATTTCCATGTCAAAACAATTTGACAGCAGATATAAACAATTAAATAAATACACAATGATCTTTCTTACGGTCCTTTAAAGATGCATGTTATTTCATGCTGTTAGCCTTAGGATCACAGTGCATAGAATCCAAATATAAAGAGTTGGGGTGACTTTCAATATAATGTTGGATCCCTCACTTCCTTTCTAATCCCACGATAACCGATAAATTCATTTCATAGGCCCTATCATGCATTAATCACCAAGTGGCAGGAGTTAAGAAAATTCTTCCTGTTACAACGTCCATTGCCGGCAATGAACGTCCCCAGACCACCGAGGAAGTCACTGTTATTGCACAATACATGAGGACCTGGAACTTTTCCAAAAGCTTAAAAAAATAAAAATAAAAAATGGAATTATATTTGACATTTCCTGACGCCTGCATTAATACTGTATGACTAATAAAGCATGTCAGTTGCCTGGACTGAGCCAGCGATCAACATGCGCCCAGAATGCACACGAGTAAAAATGCAGTAAAAGGAAGTAGTCTTCATTGCCTATAGGTCACTTCCAGTCAAAGGTTAAAGTTCAAAGACTGAATGATCAAAGTGCTCATTTTCTCAGTAGGACTATCTTCTGCTACGAGGATGATAACAGTGGCATCAACAAGTATCATCTTTAAGAAAAGAAGAAAAAAGATAATTAAAAAGTTAAGCATGTGTAAGTATCTACAAGTTAATCTCATGTAGAAATAAAATCAAATAGTAAGAACATGGCTGATGTGACTTGCCTCTCTCAATCGTTACAAATAAAAATGTGCATTTAATTATATAGCGACAAGCAAACCAACCTTTATTCTTTCAAGGAATGAGAGTTTGCAAGAACTTTAAAATATTTGATTAGTATATCAGTTTAATTTAAAACAAGAAATTGCTATGCTAACGCAGTATGTATTTCAACACATCTTAAGAGTCTGTCTATAAGTGATACTAAAACAGCCATGCCATTTTACTCAAAATAATGTATCACGTGTTTGCAGTCTATGAGGCAACTCTTCAACAAGAACATACAAGTTTCAAATCAATCAATAGGCATTCAATGCTGTTAATGTCCCTTCAGGAAACTAATTTTAAGAAGTATATATACATGTGCAAGGTCATTTAAAACCCCAAAGAATGGTTCTGTAATCCCTTCCGGTGGCCCCAGCATATTATACTTAGATAGTACATAACTGTAGTGTCCATGACTTATTTCACAAAACTGTATCTGAGGAATTTGAGGAGTTCCTTTCAGAAAGAGGCTGCCAGCTAGTGACACTCCTAAGAGCTGTGAAAGCGGTTACAAGGAGAACTCAGAAAACACTGGCCAAATGTTTACCAAATAATTCCATGTCAAGGCTGATGTAGTGATAATAAAATGTCCACAGATAAACATCAAATGGAGACCGTTATGCTAGGAGAATTCATGGATTATATTCATGGTAAAATAAATTAGATTTTAAAAATAAATCATGACTTGGTGATATAGGTCAGTGGCACAGTATTTTCCTAACCTTGGGCATAGGTTAATAATTTAAAAATAAAAAATAAGCAAGTATATAGCCCTAGGCCCAAATCCCAGCAAAAACAATAGACAAAGAGCCCAAGAGATTTTAAGTATGCAGCCAGTCTGGGCTGCATGGGGAGACCTTCTATCAAAACAGGACAAACAGACTGGAGGGGCGGCTTGGAGGCTAAGTGCTTCTGTAGAGCACCACAGTTCCAGCCCCAGTACCCATGCTGGGCAGCTCACAACTTACGTTATTCGAGCCCTTTCCTACCCTTGAGAGCATAAACAACACACACACACACAAAAATATGACATTTTTTGAGACAGGGTTCATACAGCCCAAGCTGGTCTCAACTTTGCTGAGTAGCCAGGGCAGATTTTGAGATCACCTTCCTGCATCGAGATCCTAAGTGCTAAGATGAAAGACATGTGCTAGCTGGCATGACTACACTCTTCAATGAAAAAGAACACACTGAAGACAAAAAACAAATGAAGAATTTATATCTTGTATGTTTCATATCAAAGTACCTATTTCTGTAGATTTGGAAGAACATATGTTTGTGATGAATGTAAACCAAACAGAAATATGAAGATGTTTCTAAAATAAACAATGTTTTAATTTTGTGTGTGTGTGTGTGTTTGGATTTTGGGTTGTTTTGTTTCTTAGTACTGGGGTGGGAGTTGTATTTTATGTGTGTATGTGTGCATGTTTGGGATTTGTGTGTGTGCATGTATGTATGTATATTTTATGTGTATATGTGTGCATGTTTGGGATTTGTGTGTGTGCATGTGTATATGTGTATTTGTTTTGTTTTGTTGGAGTGGGGTTTTTTAGACGGGTTCTTACTGAACTGTCCAGGAGAGCCTTAAGCTGACAATCTGCCCACAATGGCCCCTGAAGTAAATAAGATTATAGGAATGCCAGCTCAATAAAGTATTTTATTGAGACAAACACCACAACTCATCAGACTTAAAACTCTAAGTCACAGTGTGGCCCTGAATGCTACCTAATATACCACAGCACTGAGACAAACTTTAGAATGATATAGACAACAATATATACAGTAAGAAAGTAAATTGAATCAAGCATGCTATTTAGTACAGTAGAAACAAGCTTGTAACTCTAAAGACATACCACATGTTTTAGATGGCAGCACAAATTTACCTTCATTAAAGGTTGTTTGTTCTAGAAGGTTCTCAACATAGTATACTTCTGCAGAATGGGCTACTAAAATGATTATAAAGTCCTTAAAGCTATTCTCTATACCCGAATTTCCATCTTGGATCAAATGTTAAAATAATTTAGGTCTGATATGGTTCTACCTGCCTTGAACATCTTAGCTTTGTGGAAATGAACTAAGTTCTTAAGCTGGAACTGAATGATCTCTACTAGCAGGACTCACAGGGACTTAAAAGTTTCTAATTCCCCAATAAATACATGTAATAAGGTCTGCAAATAAACTGGCATCAACATGGGGATGAGCCAAAACTAACTCTGCTTTCCCTAACTAAGAGGTGAAACCAAACAAGAAAACAAAATACCTTCAAGGAATATAGCACATAATTTTTAATTATATGCAAAGATTTATTTACAAGGTATTAAGACAGACATACACATGGGAACAAAGGCGTAAAACTTATTTTGGGTCAAGACAAATATACAGAAATATAGAAAGTTGTGAAAAACCATTAACAGTCTTTAACCTCACAGCTAAAATACCTGTGGCCATATAATACCTTGGAAAAAAAAAATCTCATAATGATGTTTTCAGTCTTCTTTGGAAGGAACTACCAAAGCCTCTACTAAAATCCCATTCTCCAATACAACACAAACTGTTGGCTCCAGAGGTCCATAGCTGACTTCACTGGCTGATGGAGACGTGAAAACCAGAGAAGGGGAATCCCATCTGTCTCACAAGGATGAAAGTCACTACACGAAACTCATCTCCCCAAATAGCACTAAGGACACAAGGCTAAAAAAAAAACCACATCAACACAGGCAAATAATATGAAGTGAAAGGCTAACAGCAAAACAGAAAAAATATTTAGTTAAGTTTTATCTCCTAAGAGTTTAAGGAATTAGTTTTCCTTTGACAAACGGATTCAAGAGAGATCTTAGGGCAGGTAACTGAACTGTCACCACGAGGAGGACTAGGGGACTGTTAAACCATTCAAGTTCTGGATTCCGGGGTTTAGTTATTTTGTAACCTTAAAAGGTAGAACAAAGGCTGGAGAAATGGTTTAGTGGTTAAAGAACACTGGCTGCTCTTCCAGAGGTCCGCATATGGTGGCTCACAACCAACTACAGAAGGATCTGATGCCCTCTTCTGAAATAAAGGTGGACATGCAGATAGAGCACTCATCTACAGAAAATAAATTTTAAAAAGGCAAAACAAAATTTTTAAAAAAAAGTTTACAATTAGTGTAAATTTGTGATCTATGGACAAAGGCTATAAAGTAGGAAGAAAAAGAGGATTTTTTTTTTTTTTGAGGCATGGTCTCAAAGTATTCCAAATCGGCTTTGAACTGGAGATGCAGAAGATAAAAAACTGATCTGCCTCCACCTCCTGCAGGCTGGATGACACATGTGTGCCACCACTCCCACATACGGAATACTGCGGACGGACCTCAGTGCTTCTCACACGCTAGGCAAGCATTCTACTAAACAAGATACAGCCCCAGCCCCAGAGAGTTAAACACTAATAATCTAAGACTTTATGTTCCCATCTCCTAGAATCTTCACAGTGCTACAAGGAATGCTTCAGCTGGACAGAAGCAGAACGCAGCCCAGTTCTAAAAAAAAGATTCTTCATCTTCCTATATTAGCCCCACCCATTTGTTAAGTATGCTATCTAAATACTATGCTGACACACTCATTGACTGTAAACCTAGTGATGTGAACACTCAAGTGTGAGCTTACCCTCATGCCTGAGCACATCACTGTATGAAGACTTCAACAGTGAAGGCTCTGTATTCCCTTGTAGAAAACTACTGCCTATGGAAGATGAGTATTTTCAATACTGATTCCAATAAACAAATCCTATTATTAATGGATTCTGGTTTCCTACTTCGTGTTCATTCTTTTATAGTATTGTAGATTTTTACAGCACAAATTATACTTTGTACCTTTGCCATGGATAATGGGGTCTTGTTGGCAGTAGACTCTGGAGTCTACTGGTGCTGTCATGAGCATACAACAGCTGTGGCTGTGGCTGTCTGCACAGATCTGCACAAATCAAGTCAGCTACCGTTCTGCTCAGAAACTCCCACCCCTACCTAAGGAACTATTGACAACTGATAGCTTCTATGGGAGAGACTCTGTCTAATTAATAGTGTGGCCCCTGACAGGTCTAGCAAGCTCCAGAAGCTAGCCTCACCATGAGGATGTGGGTATCCCAAATTGGACTCAGTAGAGTACCTTAAAAGGCGTGGGGGAGGCATGAAGTTGGAGGGGTAAGATGGAGAGGTGGGGGTGAATCTGGTAAGAGTCAGGGGGAGGAGTAGGATGTGAATGTGATCAACATGGTCTGAGAATTAGACAACACTAATGTCCTGACTAGTCTTCTGTCAACCTGACACAAGTCAGGGTCATTTGAGAAGTGGGAACCTCAACTGAGAAAATGCTCCCTGAGACTGGCTTATGGGGATTTCTTTGCCTAATGATTGAAGAGGGAGGGGCTAGCCCATTGTGGGCTGGGTCACCACTGAGCAAGTGGTCCTGGATGTGTAAAAGGAAGCAGGCTAAGTAAGCCATGAGGATCAAGTCAGTAAGCAGTGTCCCTCTGGCTTCTGCTTCAGTTCCTGCCTTGAGCGCCTCCCTTCATTTCCCTCAGTAGTGAACCCTAAGGCAGCTAAGAAGTAACAGGAGTCTGCAGGGCATGGTAGTTGTAGCTAAGGCGAGGAGGGGAGATTTCGTGAGCTCAGTAGTGCAAGATTAGCCCAAAAAAACACAGATGTCTCTCATCTCGGAGGTATTTCTTGAATCAGATGTGGTGGCACAGACCTGTAATCCTAGCACTCAGGAGGCAAGAGGACAACCACGAGTTCACAGCCACCCTGGCCTTCACAGGGAATTCCAGGACGCCAGGGTAAGACAGTGAGAAGAAAGAGAGGGCGGGAGGACGGGCGAGAGGCAAAGAGCACAGCGTTGATGCGTACTTCCTGAGAGCATGTCCGTGAAGAGCTTCTGGAATTGAACCTACTAAGTAGGCAGAAGATAAACTGACATCTGAAAGTTCCAACAAAGTTAACGGGGTATGCTTGCTGAGAACAATGATCTCTTTGGTAAGACAGCACCAATTCAACTATAATACTAACTTAAGCTGTTTGTACTGCCTGGAACTGCACAAAGGGAAAGATACTATGGTGGTCCAACTGTTGAAAGGTTTTAGCGTCTCATAAATGATGAAGAATTCAAAGATGCTCTGCAGCTTCCTAGTTGGCCAACACAACACCTGCTCCACTATCTCAACAGCAACACTGACCCTTTCTTGAGTACATATAGAACCTACACATGCAGTAAAATTTCCCAAAGGGGAATGGTACATGAAGATTATACAGGCATTCAGGGTTCCTTCGGGGAAAGAATACATATTAAAAAGTGCTGTTGTGTTGTACACATGCACTCAGTGTATGTGACAGTATGTGAAGACCTGGGCAAGCTCAAGAAAAGCCACATGGCTGACAGGGGTCTGAAAGTCCCACCCTCCCTGGTGAGGAACAGCAGATTTTAAAGAGATGGAGCCCCTGAAAAGCTACCTAAGCTCTAGTATGGTGATTTTCAACATGCAGGCTGGGACCCCTTGGCTGTGCAAGTGACCCTTTCACAGGGGTTGCCTAAGACCATCAGAAAACACAGATATTTACGTTATGACTCATAACAGTAGCAAAACTAGTTATGAAGTAGCAACAAAATACTTTTATGGTGGGGGTCACCACAACACGAGGGTTATGTGTTAAAGGGTCTGAGTATCAGAAGGCTGAACACCACGGCTCTAGTGGGCGGCCCTACACTCTACACACCCTGCAGCACTGTGTGGACATAGTGGATTGAAAATCGCGAGGAGGCAGAGAGAGCACAAGAAGCTAGGAGAAGAAAGTGAGGAGCAGGGGAATAGCTGGAGGGAAGGGATGGGAGTGGACTGAACAAACACATCATGAGCATGTGTAAGATCTTAAAAGACACCACAAAGGAAGGAGACACTTGCACTACTCCTTACGGCCTCAGCCTATGGAGTTCCATTCATGTCACTTGCTAGTTCAGAACTAAGTTTCAAAAATCTTAAGTCTGTAACTCTGCACTGTGCTATTATTTGTCATTTATTCTTCTGAGGTAGGGTTGGGGCTCAGACTCAAACTCAGAGTCGCACATATGGCAGACAGGGGCTCTAACACTGAACTACATTCCCGGTCTATAATTCATTCCTAAATAATTTCATAAATCGACTTTGCTTTTAATGTTTTAAATGTTCATATAGATAAATGTTTCATTTCTTCATATTTTTTTCTTCTTTTCTATTTTGAGACAGAATCCCATCCTACAGGCCAGGCTCTCCCCAAACACGGCCCATCCTCCTGCCTTAGCCTTATAAACGTGGGGGCTACGGGCATGTGCTGCCACACACAGCTCTAGAACACCTTCTAAATGAAGAAGAATCCTCTCTCCTTACTTAATATTCCATGTTTTTATAAAGCATTTTAAAAATATTTAATCCACAAGAAATATTTTATCAAATAAAAATGTAAATTTCTTATGTAAAGCATTTACCCATTTTCTGAGATGACACCTCGCTAATGTATGATGCATTTTTTAAATCTTACGTATGAGGGCCTAAGTAATTACAATCCTACTTTAATCACCTGTTCTTACATTAACAGATTAATTTCCATCTCCCTTTTATAGTTCTAAATTCATTTATTTCCTCTTCCTAACCATACGCTTTCGTCTGTGTGCTGAGAGAGATCTGAGCACTCAACATGCACTAGCCTGGGGTTCTGTGTCTCCTGCTGCAGCCTCCTGAGTGTGGAAACTGCAGTCGTGCAGCACACAATACACCTTACTCAATCACACAAACCTACAGTTTACTCTGACTTTACGGGGACTATTTGTGTAGCTCAAGCTGCTTCCCATCTGCTACGTAGCCAAGGATGATCTTGAACTCCTGATAACAAGTATGAGCCACACTTGATTACACATGAAATCTAACTTCTCAGGAGGAACTCCTTCACAGTCCTCCACCTTTGACACTGCTGCTCTGGGTCTGTGCTAACTATTTCCCTTCCTATTACACGGGTGCTCATATCTCTGTGGCCCTCCTTTCATTGAGCATAGTGCCATGCCACAGACTCCGCTCATCTTAGGCAACTTTTTGGAAGTTTTAAATTTATAGTTTAGGTGAAAACACAGAAGACTTCTGTGACAAGGAAAAAATATAAGGAGAAAAGGCCATATTCTCATTAAGTTTTGCCAAGCTTGATTTCTTTAGAATGATAAAATACAAAAAAAAAAAAATTTAAAATGCCAAACCAGAAAAATAATTACTTTTATGGATAGAAGTATCACAAGGAGTGACCTTTATTCACCTGCTTTAAAATGTCTAGAAGGAGATATAGCTCAGTGGTAGAACTACCCAGAAGGAATGAGACTAAGGGATCCAGTCCCATTAAAGGAAAAAGAAGTCCACTGGGGAATATAAGCATTTGCTTTTTTAATTTAAATTATATCCTTGGAAAAGCAATAAAACTAGTTTAGAAATAATGCCAGCAAGCCAGGCAGTGGCAGTACAAGCCCTTAATCCCAGCACTTGGGAGGCAGAGGCAGGCGGATCTCTGTGAGTCTGAGTCTAGCCTGGTCCTGGTCTACAGAGCTAGTTCCAGGGCAGTCAAGAATGTTATACAGAGAAACTAAGTCTGAGAGATGGGGGGGGGGGGGGGGGGATACCAGCAATTCTGTATTTTAAACCTATATACTGCAGGTAATAGTAGTGCATAGACCTTTAATCCCAGCACAAGAGGTAAAGGCAAGAGGATCTCTGTGAGTTCGAGGCCAGCCTGGTCTACAGAGAGAGTTCCAAGAGAGACAGGTCTACACAGAGAAATCCTATTTTGAAAAAACAAAGAGAAAGAAACAACAATAACAAATAATCAAAAAAAAAACCCTACATATTGCTCCCTAAACAAGAAAAACAGAAATTTAAAATTATCAAGAATATTTTTTTTCATAAAGCTAAAATAATGGGCTTCAAACTTCAAATATTTAAAGGATGGCTGTGGGGGGGTTAGAATGAGAATGACTCCCACAGTTCAGAGATTTGGTCCCCAGGGAGTGGTGCTACTTGAATAGGTGTGGTCTGGTGGAAGTGTGTCACTGGGGGTGGTCTTTGGCTTGGAGAGTTCAAAAGCCCGTGTGGAAGTCCAGAGTCGTCCTCTCTCTGCCTATGAATCAGGATGTACGCCTCAGCTACTGTGGCAGCCCCTGCCTCCATTCCACCATGATGATGGACTAAATGTTGGAAACTGTAAGCAAGTTTTCTCTGACAGAGCAGTCATGTCATGGGGACTCTTCACAGCAACAGAACACTGTCTAAGGCAGGCCTTCTCTAATGGAGCACTTAGAATGTACTGTAACTGCCTCCAAATATGAAAAGGAGCAGAACTGAGTGTACAAGACATCAGAACTTCACTTCATAGGAAGGGCTCCCCACAGCTTTAAGATAAAGATTATTATGGACTTTAGTCTACCACAGTTGCATAAACCTTAATTCCAGCACTTGGGAGGCAAGTAGGGAGAGCTGCAAGTTCAAGGTCAGTCTGGCCTACAGAGCTAGTTTCAGGACAGGCAGACTTATATAAGCAAAATCATCTCAACCCTCAAAACTGCAACAAACCAAAAACCGTAAGACACTACACTTTTGTACCAAAATGGTATTATTAGAATTATTAGAGTAATACTGATTTTACTTATTATATGCTGGATATAATTTTGTTTTAAAAATTTAGTCTAATACCACATTTTCTCAGATTTTCTAAAATACAATATTACAAAAATGTTAACTCAATTACATCCTGCACTATTCTCCCAAGTCTTACAAATATCTTTTAAATATAAAAATATCAAAAATTTGTCATTACAAATAAAAACTACTCACCATGATACCACCATTTTGTTTTCTTTGGATTCTTGTTACATGTTCGCACATAAAAGGAATTATCTGGCGGTCGTCTCTGAAACAAATAGAGTTTAAATATTAAACAGGTAAGTTTGGAAAGAAAATGACTAAGAGAATTGAGTTTAGCAAAATTATTACAGAACAGATGAAAAACAATGGAAACACTAAAAGCATTACTTAAGAATGTATGCCTCAATTGTTTTAACGAGGCTGAGTGGTAGGAGAGGTTAGTTCCAGTACATAGCATCCCAATTTCTCATACTTATCTCTCCATCAAGTCATTTAATGACCACGTCTATGAACCAGCTAAACAAAAGCCGACCTCACTAAGGTTATCAAAGAACTACAGCATGCTTCAAGTATTCGCATAGGCTTATTATTTTATTGTAATGTACTAAGGACTGAGCAGACGATTCCACTTCAAACAACATCTAAGAGAAAAGATGTTTTAGTGCTTGTGTGTACCAGTGGCCTTGTTCCTCATCTGCCCCGACTGGAACAATCTGGAAAACCTGGCAGCTCTGCAAGACACCTTGGCCAAGAGTGATGCTAACCACACTGGAGGAAGACTGGAGAGAGCCTGGCTTTTTGTCAAGAGTTCAAATGTCATGTTTACACTAATGCTATATTGAGAGGCGGCTTCTAATAGTGTGAGAGTCTCACCCTTGCTTTTGGCTAACTTTTACGACTCTGATAAAAGTGTCTTTCTTTCCCTATTAAATATCTGTTTCAGTGTTTAGACTTAACTGCTTAGAGCAATGAAGATGAAAGATTAAGAGACTATCTCTTCTACTGATGCTGATCAAAAGCTACATCATTTAAGAAACGTCCAGCCAGAAAGCAGTAGTGTGAGGTACAACCTAGACTGCTGGGGAAAATGCAGCCCATCCACTTGACGCTGCTAACGCTCACGTACTCAACTGTCAGCTGGTGCTTAGGACGCATTCATGAATTCACATAAATGGTGATTTCAACCAACAAGAACACAAAGACTACTTGGGTACAATTTGTTAAATACTCCAAGACTACCCTGATACAATTTGAGAAAATTTCTTTAAAATTTAGGATTACAAAATTAAGTTACTTAATTCCTTTTTTTGTTACCTAATACTTCATAGGATAAAACCAGCAAGTATCTAATAAATGTTTGATTTTATCAAAACTCACAGAAATTCTGACTCTTAAATAATCATGGTTAAACCTACCAAACAATTCAACTAAAAAGAGTTTATCAAAAATTTAAATTAAATGATCAGTTTTATCCTAAAGTATACAAAAAATACTAGCGGGAAACCAGAAGGTGAGCAGAACAATGATGGTTAGAAAAGGATGAGAGGTACCCAGAGCAAGTCAGTCTCTGGCCTGTGGTGTAAGCATCCCTGTAGATGCACACAAAAGCTAATGATCATCAGGCCATGCAAGAGCAATGGGCAGAGAATCACCAGTGACCATCTCAATGGCGGTGCACATCAAACCCACTTGTCACTCTGCTGGGAAGCATCAAGGGAACACCAGAGCCACTGTAAGAACAACCTGCTCTGTCTCCCAGATGGAAAGCTTAGCGTGTGTGTATTCATGCGTGTGCGTGTGCTGGGGCGGAGGAGGAAAGATACTGAAGCAATAAACACAAAGACTCATTTCTAACAATTGTTGATTAAATAAAGCTTGATTACATCCTGAATATGCAGAAGAAACGGAAGTGAAAGCGATCCTAAGGGGGCTGGAGAGATGGCTCAGCAGTTAAGAGTACTGGCTGCTCTGCTCTTCCAGAGGACCCTGCTTCAATTCATAGCACCCACATGGTGCCTCACAATCATCTCTAACTCCAATTCCAGGGAATTCAATGCCCTCTTCTGGCCTCCACGGGTACCAGGCACACTCATGGTGTTCAGACATACATGTAAGTAAAACACACATACATACTAAAAAAAATATTTTTTTGTTTTGCTTTTTGAGATAGGGTTTCTCTGTGTAGTTTGGAGTCTGTCCTGGAACTCACTCTGTAAACCAGGCTGGTCTTGAACTCAGAGATCCGCCTGCCTCTGCTTCCAGAGTGCTGGGATTAAAGGCCTGTGCCACCACAGCCTGGCTAAAAATAATTTTTAAAAATGTTTTTAAGATGCATATATCATACTTCATCTAAAATAGGTTTCTTTGCACATTTTAGTGTTTTTGAATGAGGGAAGGTCTTTTAATTAATAACATGTCATAATTTAATGATAGGATTTTTTTATATTGTACATAAGAACTGGATAAAGGGCTCTTCATCTTACAATGGAAAGGAAAAAAGCAAACACAATTTGGCCTATTATTCCCTGTACTTTTTTAAGTAACAACAACTAAAAATTTCAAAACTGAAACAAAACAAACAAAAAAAAAACCTTGTTTTTTTTTTAAAAGAACGCCAGGAAAATTCTTTAAAAAATATCTTATTTTGTGTGCTGTAGACACTTGTGTGTGCGACACTCTAAGTGGTGATTACAAAACTCTCTGTTCTCGATTTCCAATGTAGGCTCCAGGGATCAGCTGTCAGGCTGACACCATGAGCACACTTAGCTGCCGAGCCATCTCAATGCACCCCCCCAAAAAATATTTTTTGAATTAACATTTCAAGAAACATACGCAGTGAAACAGTAACTCCGGTGTTCCCGATTCTAAACAACCTACTGTTCAAAAACAAGTTACTATCCTAAAGAGTCTCTACAGTCTAATCAATAATAAAACAGCAGAGGAGCAATCTGCTGAAGACACACGCACCCCTCAGAGCCCCTACTTTAAGGGCATCTGAACTACTACACATCATTTTCATCTGGTCTTTCCTCCACTTCCATTAGAGACAGCACCTGTGTGTAAATACAGGAGAACAAAAGTGAAGGTTTCAAAATTTCCACTGGTAAATGGCATCCTTCCATCAATTGACCAGTGAGAGAGGAAAGCTCTGGATTGGGGAAACTCTGAGAAGTGCTGCTGTGGATAGGTGCTGGCAAAGGGGGCTAAGGAACCAGGGGGTGTTCGTTTTTCCACTGTGAAATCTAGAAACAGGAATGTACTGTTCACTTTTACTCTGTGACTGTTCATGGAAATAAAATTCAGATTAAAACTTCATGCACAAATGTCCTGTTCAAAACGATTCAATGAGAGCTATGGTCTAGTTACTGCCCACAGTGCCAGCATGCTGTACACTCAATAAACCAGACTAGAAATACAGAGAGAACACCGAGCTTGACTTCTAGTCTAGTAGAACAAATTAACAAGATAGTTTCCAATTTATTACTAAAAATGTCATTCACTGTAATTTAGAACCAAAAAACGTTGAATCCTCCTTCAACCACAAATAACTATATACTGAAACTGTAAACCTACCTATGCTGAGAGAGGAGACATTACCTGGAGTAATTGTAAAATCCTACCTTTTCTTTGCAGCTGGAAAGCATGCTAATAATGCTAAGACAGACTGACTGGACTGAGAGCGCTGGGGACCAGTCTTCTGTTAGAATGGATAAACAGATATGACCATTGCTATACACATGAGGATGGACAGGAATATTCTCACCAGTAAACATGACCTAAGAAGAAATAAAATTCCATTAACGCTCAATACTTTCTACTATTAAAAACTAAAGTATTCTGCACATTTAACAAGTAATAATTTTTAAGACATAAAAACAAATAGATTTTAGTAGCAAATGTCCACTTATCACCAACAATTCAGTAACAACCTCACTGCATAGATGACCATGCAACAATACAAAACCCTAGCCTATTTTCTAAATTCGCTGAATTTTCTAAATTTGCATTTTTTTCACTAGGAAAGGTAAACTACATTCAACAGAATGTTGTTTTTTCAGATTCTACTCGTCACGCACACCTGGAATCCCAGCACTTGGGAGGTAGAGGCAGGTGGATCTTGGTGAATGGGAGGCAGCATGAACCTCCACACGGTAGTTCCAGGCTAGCCAGGGCTACATGCTAAAACCATGTTTGAACACAAAATACAACAAAACAAAAAAACCAAATGCACTACAATTCCAAAAGTATTCAATGTTAAAACTGCAATAGAAATCAAACAAAGCCAAAGGCCTGATTAGGAGAAAAATAAATGAAGTTGAGTCCTAATTGGCTGCTGGCCTCTGCTCTGCCTTTACTCACTGAAGCTGTTCCTTTATCTTGCCTTGGCACAACTGTAAATGCCTTCCTCTGCCCTAACACTTCAAGTTAACCACCTGAGCATCCAAACAGGAGAGAGAACAAATCTACATACCCTGCATATTCTAACACAATTCAAAGGCAGGAGATGGATTTAAGATCAGTTATGTATGTGTCCTCTTTATCTTGCAGTGCTGCGCAAAGAATGCAGGTCCTTGTGCGTGCCCCACAGCCGCGCCACTCCGAGCTACAGCGCTAAGAGAAATTATTTGCTTTTATAAGGTGCCGTATTAATTCTATAGTTTAGCAGTCATTTCTTAATTAGTGATCTTACCATAATAAGAAAAACATTGGCATCACTAGGATGAAGACCTGGTTTGAATTCACAATCAGGCTGGGTGTGGCAGCACACCACTGCAGGAGCCTGACAGAGGAATTCTACTCGAGCCTAGAGGTCCAAGGCCAGCCTTGGGAAAACGGTACAAACTTTCTCTCAAACAAACAGCAACAACCACCATTAGGATAAACTCAAAGATGCCACTCAAGATCCATGAGTTCCCACTCATCCACAGTCCTCAGCACAGACTTTACAGAATCGCTCAACCTGTACAGCAAAAGAAGGAGGAGGAGAAATCAAACTTTACATTCTGACAGAAACCGATGAAACATTTGCTGCTCTGCATGTATCTGGGGGTGGGGGGTGGGGGGTGGTTTCTCCTTAAATGAAGAAGACGGCCAATGAAATCAGTTTGGCTAGAGTGAGGTATACCCACATTTAATACAGAATAGATATTGTGAAACTAAAATCAGCTAAGGTTTTGGTAGATATCTTAAATATCTAGCCACAAATCTGACTTTATTAAGATTCTTACAGGTCGGGCAGTGGTGGTGCACTCAGGAGGCAAGACAGGTGGATCTGGATCTATGTGAGTTCAAGGCCAGTCTGGTATTCAGAGCTAGTTCCAGGGCAGCCAGGACTACACAGAGAATCCCTGTCTCTAAACGCCAAAAATGAAATAAAAGATTCTTAGAAATATGCACATTAACAAGCTGACTGTCCAAACGAGTAGGCCTCAGACTGTTAAGCTGAGGTTAACACGACAAATCTGTCCAAACTTTCAGCAACTGCTTTCCTTAGCCTTTAAGACCTGGCCGCCCACCTCTACTCTCTCATAATGAGAGAAATCAATTACTTGTCCTCCATACTTGCAGAATGCTCATTCTTTACCTTTAAGGCTGCTCTGAGAAATGGCATTTGTGCAGCTCATGCCACTGCTCTTGTCCTGCTCTGAGCAGTATTGAATGTGACACTTTCTGTGTCCACCCACAACTGCTTTTAGAAGTATGAGCCACAGCTTATGTCAACAGATTTATGTGTAGATTTGATACACGTCTAGAACAGGAATTTATAACTGTCACAGAATATAGATCTGTCCTGATGACTCATTTGTCCTAAAGAGTCATTCGACCAGCAGAGTGTTTTCACTGAGAATTTACTCCCTGGTCATAGTTGTTTTTAAAGTATATTCTACCCACCCCCCAATAAGGTCTCTTTATTAAGAAGTCTATGAGAATAGTGACAGTGTCACCACACACACACACACACACACACACACACACACACACACACACCAAGTTTTTACCACGACTATTAGAAAACACACGACAGACAGACAGATACAAAGGTCATCAGGACACTGCCTAGGCATTCACAGAGCACGAGGAAAGCAGTATCCTCCTTGGAGAGAAATCATTACCAATGTCCATGAGCTGGCAACAGGAAACCCAGGCATAAGACAGAGTGGTGAACAGCAAGCAATGACACCTACAAAAAGCAGCAGACAGTCTACAAGCAGAGCAGAGGACAAAATTTAACAGCTCTAACACCAGCGGCCAAAACAAAAATCAAGTCAAGTCCCCCCGCTGGGCACTCAGGAGGTGGAGGCTGAGTGGGATACTGGGTGGGCAGTCAACTAGCACCACTAAGAGTGTACAGGCCAACCTGCGCTGTCCTCAGAGTCTGTCTTAAGACACCAACCAAAACAAAATCAACCAATCTCAATTATTAATGTATTCCATGACAGGCAAATGCAGCCAGTGTGAACCGGAGGCAATCAGAAACGGGATAACTACTTGCACATATTAAGCAGCCATTACGGCCTCGACACTTTAGAAGCTTGTCTAAGCAGGAAAAGGATGCTTGAATTCCTTAAATAAAACAAAACATTTTTTTACAACAGTTTGTTGATGCTAAGGCATTACCAGTCTTTTCCATTTCCACAGAGTTTCATTATAATCTCTGTCACTATGGCTCTCCGCCCACTGGGAAGAGTAACCAAGGCTAACTTTAAGCACGCACCATTTTCCATCTTGTTTAATATCCTGTAGGAGTCAAAGGAGAAAAACTGACATTTCTCATGTTTTACTTCAAATGAGCAGGTTCTGAACTCAAAATGTTTTAATTCTGGAGTTAAAAAAAAATTGGTGTAGTCCCATGTAGCTTATAAAACTATCTGGGATTGATATTGCCAGACCACTGAATACAAGTGATTTGAAACTACAACTCAATTTACTTGGCCTCAGGTCAAAATTAGTTATACAATCACATTGTTAAAAGTTAACTGAGGGCCGGGTGGTGGTGGCACATCTTTAACCCCAGCAGTTGGGAGGCAGAGGCAGGCGGATCTCTGTGAGTTCGAGACCAGCTTCAGGACAGGCTCCAAAGCTACAGAGAAACCCTGTCTCGAAAAACCAACCAACCAACCAAACAAACAAACAAACACCTTGACTGGAAACTAGCCACGTTCCTTGCTGCAGAACTTCAGAGGGAAGTAAAAGAACAACTCTAGGACTTAGAATCAGAACTTAAGAGTCCCAAAGCTGCATAAGAAGCCATCCTCAAACAACTCCATTTTTACTCACCTCCTTACTACTGCAACTCATTTCCAAAAGTAGAAGAACTAGGATATAACAACTGCAGGACATACCTAGTCCACATCCAGTCTAAAAATTTAACCAAACCAATATTGGAGTAACTTGAGTACCATGAATGTAGTATCTATTAAAATACAACCCGAAAGACATCAGAGTAATGGAAGCCTACCCAGACTATGAACAACCACAACTAAGTTAGGAGAGGAGAGGAAGGACAAGGTGTCTCCCTACTGCCTCAGCTGTCAACCCTGCCCCGCCCCCAGGGCCTAAGCATTTCTCCTACAGCAGCTTTAAAAGTACCTGGGGCTATAGGCATGAGCTACTCAAGCCTGACCTACTACTCAAATTTGATATATTCTAACAATAGTTCAATCTGATAGCTGTCAATATCTACAATAATCTAGTATAAAACAACAATTACTCTAGACATTTAACTATATATTCCAGTACGTTTATACAGTTTACAATAGCCTCGGCATTATTACTAAGAAGAAAACAAGGAATGGAGTTCAGGTAACTTTCATAAACAAAATGCAAGAATTTCTCAACATCAAGCCTAATAACGAAAGACCTTACGATACCTATTTACAAAGATATAGTACATGTTTCATGAGCGGTCTGGAGACAGAAAATTACCTAATATGCATCAAGCTGGGTCCAAACCGTAAGCATACAATGAACACAACAAAATAGGATACACACAGGTAGGAGTGCAAGTCAGTGGTCGTTCACCTGAAATGCATGAGCCCTAGGTTAACAATCAATTTCTAGCATAGGGATGGAGAGGAGGCAGCCAGAAAGACAACCAAACACCAGGCTAGAATTATAAGACAAAGTCCATCTGTCATGCCATATAGATACCAAGGCTTCCTGTGAGGACAACATGAGGCAAGGTTTTCTCTTGTAATCATCAGAGACAGGCTGGGGGCCCACACCTGCAATCCAGCACTCGGGATGTAAACACAGGAAGAGCAGATGTTTCAGAGCATCCCTTACTACAGAGCAAGTTTAAGGCCAGCCCAGCACACATGACAGCAGTCTCAACAATAAATAAGTAAATAAAAGTTAAAAGTGTAATAAAAGCTACAGATAACATACAACTCATACTAACTGACAAAAGAGGCTAGGGAGCTCTCTACATACAGGTATATCATGCAGGCAGATTAGGCTGTCTTTAGGAATGAGGGGAGGTTGAGAACTTGAGAGAAAGAACGGAGGGGCGCATGGAGAGATGGAGAGAGAGGAGGGAACGTGATATAATTTCAGAAAATTACTGAACATGACTAGGGACTGAAGTTTTATGAATTTTCGATGCAGACTTCTTCTAGCACACAAACCCAGATCATTACCATATATAGGAATAATTTTCTTATTTGATCATCATACCATGTAGCTTTAAATGTACTTAAAGACAAAGTTTTTTTTTTAATTTCATCGTTATTTTGTATGGCTTCAGAACTGAAGGGTCAGTGATCTTCCTTGAAAA